TTTCCTGACACTCCATGTGAATGGTTTCCATCTCTTTGTTGAGTAGAGCCAGCTCTCGCTCAATGCTGCTCACTGAGTCTTTTCTGACCGAGCCCTTCTGAGGGGAACACTCCATACCGTTATTCACGTAACGACTCTCTATATGAGCTCGGAAACTGTCACATTCGTTGCCGTAGTCGGTTACGTCGGTCACTTCATTAGACAGCACACTGTCATCACTGTAATTCTGCTCCTTACGTCGGAACTTTGATGTGGCCGCAGGAGAGTTTGTGCACTCCGTGTCAAAAGGATCCTAAAAAACAAAACAACAAAAATGTTAGGTCAATATCTTACGAGAAAATCTGTGAAATTAATGATATGTCTAAATAGGAAAATTGTTTTGATGAGAATATCATAAATAAGTATATAGTGTGCAGTTCAATACAGGTGAAATTAAAAAAAAAATATTTCTTCCTGTCATTTATTATCAAAATCCATTCATTTTAAAGATAGGTCTGAAAAGGTTAGCTACTTCACTTATATATACAATTCTATGTGTCTGAGCTACATGTATTTTCAATTCCTCTTCCATTAATTTATAAAAATAAAAACCAGCTACACCATCCTGGGAGCACATGAGGTTTAAGCTTCTGCTTTGAGGCAAATTAAAATTAAAGTTGCAATAAAATAAGTACTGATCCTAAATAGTTCAAGACAAAACAGGTCCCCCAGATTCCTATCTGCACTATTTTGACACACGACTCTATTCTGCTTGGTGTCTGTTGTTTGCATGTTTATGTTTGTGATTCCTATCTCTAGTTTCACCTTTCTTTTAATTTGTATATAATCAGACAATCATTACGTGAAGTAATGTAGTGTTTTGTAAGAAGAGGGTATCAGGCAAACTGTCAATCAACAGAATAACATGTACTACAATAGATCAAAAAATCTTGTGTCTGATACACATTTAAGACTTTCAGATTATTTAACAAAATTTAGCAAAATTAAATCGGAGCGGTAGTTAATTTGATCCTACAAAATGTTACTTTTCCTTTCAAAACTATCATTTGTGTTCCACTTATTTTAAGTTTTAAGTTTATTTTTTCCTGCTAGTAATTTCCCCTCCGCAAAGTATTTAGTTCTCTCAAAAATCTCCCAAGAATGGAATCTGCTTTAAGTAGGCTAGTGTACTTAAATTTATTTGATAAAATAGATTGAAAATAACTTTAGACTAATAAAATCATAATAGTACCTGTACAAAATGTGCTTTAGAAATATGTGTATTAAAAATTCATTTCCATTATAAAGAAATGTAACAGATATAGATTTTATGAATATTTGAAATAAAATTTATTCATTTTTTTCATTTTTGTAATATATAAACTTTCTTTTAATTTTTATTCATTTATTTACTTATCTGAATGTAACACTCCAGAGTCAATAGAAATTTTTAAAAAATACAATGAGTTGACTACGATATCTCTCCCCGTTAGCTGAGGCCTAGTCTATACAGAGAGAGGTCTGTTAGTAAATGGTTTGTACGATATCTCTTCAAAATGCATTTAGGTAATAGTTTAATAATAACAACCAATGAAAAAACCTCAACCATATTTACATATTATATAGCTGGTTTGTGGCCGTGTTCCTACAGGTATGTGTACCGTCGGGGTTCTAGAATATATAAAATTAATATGTACCATATAATCTCTTCTGCTTTCTTCCTTTCATCTCATTCTTTCGGGGTTCTCTAATTTAGCAAATTAGGTTATTTTGATCATTTGTTTTTGAGCAAACGAGAATCTACTTTCGTTTTAGCAATAGAGGGAATTCGGTATTAAATACACTGTAAATATGAAATGTAGGGAAATTACGAACAGTATTGAAGTCGAACTAAAAAGTTCATTCAAACAATACAAAATAGGAGCAGAGCAAACACGATTCTTATATTTATACCCAGATAGCATGACTACGTTGGCCCAACATAGGCTAAATGATGGTCCGTTGGCCGATGGTTGGCGTTGGGTTTACAACGTTGGCCCAATGTTGGGTCAATGTCAACATTACACTAGTTTACTCAAAGGCCGAGGTTGGTTGGGGACACAACATTGGCACAACGTTGGACCACAGTTGTTAGATTGTCAACACTAAGTTGACAGATTTTGTTGGGAGTACAATATTGGCCCAACGCCGGGCCAACATTGGTGAATCACGTTCTTATGTTGTTGTAGTTTGTTGGGCATTCAAGGTTGGCCCAATGTTGGGTCAATGTCGACATAACTCTATTTTACTCAAAAGCTAAGGTGATGAAACAACGTTGGCCGAACGTTGGACCACTGTTGTTTGCTTGTCACCACCAAGTTGACAGATTTTGTCGGGAGAACAACATTGGCCCAATGTTGGACCAACATTGGTTAATTACGTTTTTATTTTGTTATTTTGGGGCATACAATGTTGGCCCAATGTTGGATCAATGTCAACATAACTCTATTTTACTCCGAAGCTGAGGTGATGAAACAATATTGGACTATGGTTGTACATTTAATGTCGCATATACCATGAATACCTATAAAACATGCAGACGATCAAGTTATTATATAACATTTAATTTTTTTAGTTGTGAAACTTTGAAATACATGTATGTGTAATATTTAACATTGCTAGTTCTAAAAAGTAAATGTTTTAAATTAACACATGATTAACTTAATTGCATTTTGTAAGAAATATAAGAGACACATGTACACTTAAATTTTTTTGGTGTTGGATTTAGGGGGCATATTCTAAGATAAGAGAACATTTTCTGACCAAGTAATTAGGACAGGGTTTAACACAGCGTGAAACTGGCCAGTTTCTATGGTAATGGTGATATCTGATAGGACAGGATGGTCAAATCTGCATCCTTTTAACACGCCTAACATTTTACTCTCGGGCGTACCCTACAGCAGGACGTTGAAGATTTTACGTCAAAGAGAAAGTTTTGAAATGTTTGTTCTTTATTGTGGATTTTTAGAGAGCTCTATGTCCAGACATTTCACACACGGAAATGTAAGTACTATATTATTTACCTCAAATTATTTCAGATTTTTAGACTTAAAATGCAAAGTTTGTTTCATGTGATCATGATCATTTTCTAAGCTTGCCTTAGTTTTGAATATGTAACTAGATCAGACGCTAATCATTTTATTTTTAAATATCTTTGAAAGTTTGGATGGGTCAGTTTCGTTTCATATATCGATCTCTCTTTATATTTTCTACCAAATGTTTTGGATTGGTACTTAGTGCAGCATGTGTTTCGCATATTTTAGAGAAATCAAATCTCTTCTTCATAGATTAAATTATCATTCTATTTAATTAGTGGACATAACTTGGTGAGGGAAGAGGAGAGTATTTGCTGCCATGTTTTTTAAACAAAATTGAAGAATTCCATTGGAAGTCAAATGAAGTAATCCGGCTTTTTCAAAGATGATGGGTATTGAAAAAGTAAGTAATAAAATGCGTGCTTTAATTTGTTCTCCAGAATAATTCTTTACTGAAATAAAATATCTAAATCTATAAATAATCGAATATCTTATGTAGTAATACACAGAATCAATTAAAAATACTATAAAAGTGTGTAAATAAAGTACTGCTTAAAATTTATTTTTCAGCATTTCTTTCTTTTTTGAGATTTGCTTAATAGGTTTATTTTTTATTTAAAGGGGCGTTCAAACTAACCGCTGGTATTCCGAATCAATTTCTGTGGAATTTCACTGCGTACTACAGTATAAAGGAAGAATAAGAACAGACAATTGCAAGAAACGAAAGAAGAAAATGCGTTCAAAACTTTTACAAAGGCGGATAGTGATTGGTTATAAACCTGTTTATAAAAAGTGTATATAAGTGAAATAAGTGGAAAACTTTGGAAATTTATACTACTAGATACAAACTTCAATCTTAATAAGAGGAAAATTATTTATTGTTTTAACTGTATCAAAACACATTTGTAATTTCATATATACTTTCATTTACTTTTCTTGTGTAGAAACAATAAATTAGATAACTGATAATTTATTTTGTTCTGATAAATTTAGAGATGTTTAAAAAGCCTGATATTACTTGTAAATTAAGTTTAGATAACTTGTATTTTCAAGAAGAACTGGAGGTAGATTTTTTTCTGATTGTAGAGATGATCGGATTTGTTAATATGCAGATTTGTAGCAATTAAATGCTTATACACATTGAGCCAATGTTGGTCCAATATATCGGGCCAACATTGGGCCAATGAGCAAAATGACATTTGCCAACATTGGCCCAATGTTCTAGATGACGTTGGGCCTACATTGGCCCAATGTCGCATTCATTGGGCCACTGTTGGCGCAACGTTGGGCCAATGTCTGTAGAAACAACACACTACATTGGGCCAACATTGGCCCCAACATGTCGGGCCAACATTGGCCCGATTAGCAAACTTACATTGGGCCAATGTCATTTGCCAACATTGGCCCAATGTAACCGATGACATTGGCCCAACGTTGGCCCAATGTTAGCATGCTATCTGGGTAATTCCGTATAAGGCCTCTCGCATACTGAAAGGAAAATCAAAAACACCAATGAAAACATAATATTCCAAAATGTTTTGACTATTTAGCCAAAAATTATGGAAATTTGTCAGTGTCGTATCTTACATTTGGTCACAGTGCACTAAAATCGGTGCTGAAAACCTCTCAGGCGTGAAATATATGACGTCACATAAGGAAAGTGATTTAGAAAAAAAACCTTAAAACCCGTGCGTATTACGAGAGATAATTTCGTGATTACATTTACACACATAGGCGTTGGAAGCCAGGTGAAAGTGGGGGGGGGGGCCACTTGAAATTGGGGGATTAAACTAATACAAAAGGTTAACCTCAATTTTCAATGCCTTTATCATGTATATTTATTTGAAAAAAAGTGGGGGGGGGGGGGGCTTAGTCCTCCCCCTTTGCCCTTCCGGTTCCGACGCCTATGTTATAGAGGGAATAGTTGCACCTTAGGTATAGACATCACATTTGCATATATGCAGTTAGTTTAAATTTCTTGCAATCATGTCATAAATGAGGGTGAATAAAAAAGAAACATAATGTTGCCGTGTAGTTTGTTTTAACTATTCCACCAAAGAAACCCCATTTTTGCCAGTTATCGTAGAGGGACACGGAAGTTTTCCAAATAACCATAAAAATGACTTTGGCGCGAAACAACGTCATATCAAGGTAGGGCGCGTAACAACGTCATATCAAGGTAGGGGGCGTAACAACGTCATATCAAGATAGGGCTTTTCATCATGCCAACTTGGTTGTGTATTTAAAAGACATGTTTCACTCGAAATCAAAAACAATTTAAAATTATTTTGGAATCATTTTGTCATTGCAGACAATGTCTGTAAGAGTTCAATTCAAGTCACTTTATTATGTTAATATTAAGACATTGTATACCGTATAGATTTTTCTCGCATAATCACCAGTGTAAGATTGACTTGACCGGTGTGAGACAGCAGTGTGAGATTTTTCTATCTTACACTGTGTATTACTACGCCACGAACGAGAACGTAAACATTCCGTCATTATATAAAGAAATTGTAACAATGCCAAAAAAAAAAATAATACATAATTAAACTGTTGTCATTTAACTTATTAATATAAACTTATTTTCATTCAAAATATTATCGTATTTTCACTTTTTTAATGGCACTATTTCTATATCGCGGAATGATTCTTCTTTTATGCTGTCGGATGGATAATTTTCAAAGAGATAATATTCAAAACAAAATGGACCTCCTCTCCAATTTCATTCTAATTAATTCACATATAATCGGTTTTTCGTAAGGTATTTTTTATGAAATACAATTTCTACAGCTAAATTATGTAATAAAAATATCTGATACTGTCATAACATTGTACAACACATATTAAAGAAAAATATGGGTTGAGCATGTATTTGTGGCAGAGAGATTTTATTGGGTTCTAGTATTCATTTGTCTATAAAAATTATATGTCACTATTAAAGTGTTCATGAAATATATGTGGAGTGAAATATGTGGAGACATGGAACAGTATTTAAGATAGAAAAAAGGAGAGGAACTCGTTAGTTGTAAGAACTTTTCTGATCCATTTGATTTATTTCAATAAAATATGTTAAAAACATCAAAAGTCCATAAAACAATACAAAATAGGAGCAGAGCAAACACGGACTTCCAAAACATCAGGTGCAATTGAGGAGTGAGCATCCCCTGCATTATGCAGGTCTTTACTAACCTCTAGAAATACAAGCACTTTACATTACATCTCGCAGTTAATTTCTAAATTCCTATTATTATCGGCTTTCAATACGTAAACCTCGTATGTTTCTTTTTCAGTCAATATTATTACACATGGGGTGTATTTATCAACTTTTAAGTAAAAAGTTCTTTGCTTTCCAAGCATTAAATATAGTAGACAATAAAAGCTAAATTTATTTTCAATAGATTTCTAACTTAAAAAGCTTTTTTTTTATTTACCAAAAACCTTTCCCCTGGCTTTATTAGCATTTCCGTACGATAGGATAGGGCTGTTACACAAGGCAAGAATTTACAATTGTAATTCATTATACTTCATTTACCAGGATATACAGCTGTGTTGCAATGGCCCGATCACAAGCCCAGGACGTCATTCGATGTCAATACTGTGAGGACGAGCCCGCTGTCTTCCACTGTGTTCCGTGTGGAGATGAACTCTGTCTTCCATCTTAAAAGTAAAGTTCCCTCCGGACACAACATCGTCCGTCTGTCTGAGAGACTTCATCCAATTAATCAGATTAAAATGTGTGAGGTCCACCCATCTAAAGCGTACGAGGCTTGCTGTGAAGATTGTCAAGTCCCGGTGTGTATATCGTGCATTCAGGAAGTTCACGGAAAACACGCTATCGGTAAATTACAGGATCTTTACGAAAAACAAAAGGCTGAAACCGAGTATGAATTGTCTAAACTGAAGGGACAATATAAGTCTGAGATTATTCAAAGAATAAAGGATTTCAAAAATGGAGAGAGGGAAATAAAGACCAGCCATAAAGATATCAGAGAGAAGATGAACAAACAAGCTCAGGATTTTATAGATCATATCAGCGCCATTTTGAAAAAAGCCTTGGATGAATCCACAAAAGACGAGAGAGAGAAGTTATTGGAAATATCTAAATATACAGCAGAGGCAGAAAGTTTCGAACAAAACTTGGATCAAATGATTGAGAAATTTGAAACTCTTACAGAATCAAGTCATCCCGCTGTCCTTTTATTGTACCGAAAACAAAATCCTGACATATTTAAGAGATTAAAATTTCCAGACAAAATAAATCTCACTATGCCTTCATTTACAATCGGTCAGCTCAGCAAATCTCAAAATGAGCACCAGTTTGGTAAATTCATCAGTGGTGTTATAAGCCATTTTAAATCAAGCGATGATAGTTTAAAAGTTAAAGATCTGTCTGGGTCTACAAGCGTAAAACCGTCTATCAAAAAAGTATCAAGACGTGCAATACAAATAAGCAAAACAAAATCCCAAAAGAGAACATTATATCACGTAAGTTGTCGTGATGACAGAACAGCGTACATCAGTGGTGGTGGTTGTGGGATACTACTGATAGACAGGTCAGGGACAGAGCTGGATAACATCAGTACAGACGGACAACCATCTGGTCTGGCTGTGATGAAGGACGGAAGTCTGATTTACTCTGACTATGACAATAAATGGATCTATAAAGTGTCACTCAACAAAGAGAAAACAAAACTTATAAACACTGAGTATGGTCCTAGAGGTCTGTGTTGTACCAGGTCAGGTGATATCCTGGTCTGTATGGGTGTTTTATATACAGCGAGAGTAGTCAAGTACAGCAGCAGTGGGAGGATGATCCAGGAATTCAGGACAGATCAGAACGGGGAGAGACTTTTTATTAATCCATGGGGTGTCTGTGAGAATGTCAACGAGGATATCTGTGTTTCTGATTTCAACAGTAAAGTGGTCGTCCTGACCAAGTCTGGAAATCTTCGGTTTAAGTATGACGGGAAAGTCCTTAAACAGACGTTAAAAAAAGAATTCGCTCCGCGTGGTGTGGCTACCGACAGTCTGGGTCACATCCTTATCGCAGACAAAGACAATAACGTCGTACACCTGATCAGCCAAGACGCGGACTTCCTGTCTTACATCCTGACAGAGAATGATGGGATATCACGGCCGTACGGAATCTCTGTGGACAGGCACGACAACCTGTGGATGGTAGAATGTGAAAACGCCTGTGTTAAAGTGTATCAGTATCTGTCATAACTTTGAACACTCCTTTTCAACCTTTACAAATGTATTTATTTACCTTACAAAATAACTCATCATTAAAATGATACAGTTTTCCTTATAATTATTTTTCAGTAAATAGAAACAAATATGTTATTTTAATGGTTATTTTAATATAGATTTTCAAAAGAATATAAGTATATGTACATGTATTTTAAGCAGAATTGTTCATTAACAATGATATGTGACTTTGGAAAATGTCGTGACTATTTATTTCAACAAAATTTGCATTTTTATCTCACATAAATTATAGTGTAATATAACACAGTTATTCTTTTGGTGTTGAATATGGTTTGTTATTCACCAGAAAAATATTCATATTGACCGAGGCGAAGACTCAATGATCGATCTAAAAAGACTTTTTTATGCAAGAAGGACTTAACGAGAGTTATTTCTCTTTGTTCGCTTGCTGCATTTGTGAAGAGGGAAGGTATGCATAGGAAGTAGAGTCTCCTCTATGGAAACACAGACCCTTGATATATATTTTTTGAAAAAGTTTACTTTTCTGTGAGAGCCCCCACCCCCTCCCCCACTTTCGATACAGTTTTTCTCATGGTGTAATTTTTAAAATGAAGGACCCACCTTTTTCAAGTACAATTTCCAAGTATGAATTTAAACAGATGTGTTATACACTGTGGTTTTTTTTTCTCAGGTTCACCAGGATATATATCGTATCGACAAAGGAATGGAAATTACCATTGTTAATTGACAATGCGTCATTGATATATCTAAATGACGAGTTGAAGACTATAGCAAGTGTTTTCTTTTCAAGCAAAAGATTTTGCACAAATGCTGTTTCATATGAATACAAAAATAGGTATGCTAATAAAGGAGCGGAGTTGGTGCCCATGGGAATTCCAATTGATTGTTGAAATACCTGGTCTCCAAAAAACCTCCTAGATATTGTCAATTAGAAACTCAAGCATCATTTTGATGTCAACTTCAGATTACGTGTGTGTGCAACCAGAATGTGCTGTAACAGAATAATTTTGCAAATGACCACTGACCAGGTAAATTAATTAACGAGTTCCTTTTTTTTGAAAAAGCAGCTATCAGCTGAATAATATAATGAAAAGCTCGGACTATAATTTATCTTGGTTAAGGTTGCATATAAAGTTGAAAAGTCGTAAGTTTTTAAGCGGTTGATTTTGGTAAAATCTTATAATTTCAAATAGTGCAAAAGTTCTTAGGAATTTTCGAGCATCCACATCTGATTCACACCACTTCTTGAGAATATTGTTGCACCGCACTCTTGACAGTTTTCCTTCACTACTTTCAATATCTTAGTGAGGAGTAAAGAAAGAGGCTTTGTTGAACATTTACTGGAACCCACAATGTTAGTTTGTTTGTAAGGATTAATATGAAGTTTTGGAATCCTTTAAACATTTGTATATATAGTAGTTAAATTCATTTTGGCTCTGTGGGATACCCATGTCATATTAAAAATATTTAAAACTGACATATAATTTTTCAAGAATTTCTTCCTTAGAAAGGGAAGTGTAAGTTAGTTGGATTGCCACTTGTAGAGTTAAATCATTGTTTTTCTAAAGAACAAATTATATTATGATCCTAACAAACACAGACAATATTGTTACCTGCTTTGTCAGCAGGGACCAGTACGTACTGATCATGTAATTTATTTAATTTGTTTTTTACTTCTGGATTACTGTAAATCACTTTTTATTCGCGAGAACTTTATTTTTGCGTTATTACGCAAGACGGTATGCTTGGGAAAATATCATTCTCGCGTATAATAGAATTCCTTAAGATTATAAAGAGCAATGGCCACAATTCGTGAAAATTTTGTCTCCCTTATAAAGGGGCAATGATTATCTCGCGAAAATAAGGTGTGCAAAAAATTCAGTGATCTACAGTATTGAATACAGAAGGATAGATGGTTTTAATATTGCTCCTCAATATATGCCCCTTTTAATACGCGACTTTAACATGCATCTGATGCATTTAATCCATTCTGACACATTTTCGACGTCTTCTTTTTCATATCTGGCCCATCGTTACAAAGTTTTTTTGTAATTGAAAAGTTTGGAAGCAATGGTCAATGTTTATTTGTAGGAAATACCAGGTGTAGTCTTTATTTTTAAATATAGTTCCAACACATGTACACAAATGGTGCTGGCAAGGAAAAAATCCCTCACTGCTCAATGGCTGTAAGTTCCAAGCATAGGACAAAATCTATAGCTCTCAACCGACAAGGTGTGGCGTCTCCACACGAGTGAAAAATTCTAGCGAGGGATGTAAACAACACCTAATCAATAAATCAAAGGGAAATGCCAACTTTACGTATCCATTGTGACTATGAATACAAAGCAGTTGTATTTTACATTTTTGGACTGCGATTATTGAAATTTTAGAATCTTTTTTTTAAAACGTTTTGACACTTAACTTATCTGAATAAACATAACTTAAGGATGACTTTAACTTTTCTATCGTCAACTTTCCTTACTTATGCAGCAATATACCTTCATCACCTGCATACGGAGTATTTATATCTCAGTTGATTCGATACGCAAGAGCATGCTCTACGTATGAACAATTTCTTAAACGAGGCAAATTATTGACAAGCAAGTTGATGAAACAAGAATATCAACAGTCTCGTTTAAAGTCATCATTTTGTAAATTCTATGGTCGATACAATGACCTTGTCAGCAAATACAATTTATCATTGAATGAAATGCTGACTGACGTTTTTCATACCAATTGTTAGTCCATTATTTATACACTGATTTGACCACGGATTTTTCCCGTTACTTCCTGATTATGACAACGAGCACACGGCGGGGGGGACCGGTCGGCAGGGGATACTCACTCCTCCATGGCACCTGATCCCACCTCTGATGTTTCGGTGACTATGGTCAAAGTGTTTGCTTTTTGGACTGCTCTTATTTTGTATATTTGTTTAATGGACGTTGAGATTGAATGCTGTTCGTTATTTCCATATCCTCCTTAAGGATTAATTAGTTTCATTGAAAATTTACACTTGCTTATAGTGTGTGTTGGGTGTTTGATTTATTCTCTACATTTCCTGTGCAACTCAGTGGCCATTTTATCACAAAAGCTTACAATTAAAACTAAAACTTCACCAGTCTGTAACTTTCTAAGTAATCATTAAGGAAACAATCATAAAATATTGATCAAATGTAAAAGAAAATTAAGATTTTAGCAACTTAATTATTTTTTTGTAGAGGGGGGGGGGTTGTTAATAGAAACACATGAGCATGCATAGTAAATTTTGAATTTGAATTTTATCAAATCTTATTGTTCTTCTACATAGGCATATCTTATGACTGTTTTTTTACGATTGTGACAGGCAGTCACTCAAGACAATAAGCAGCAATGTCAACAAAGAACAAAGTCAGGATTCTTGTCACAAATATAAAACAATAATTTATTCATGTTCTCATATCACTGAATTCAGGAAAATGAAGCACAAAGTCTGTCAAAATGTAACCATGACGACAGTTTCTACTGACAACATTTGTAACTAAGCATGTGATCACAGGTGATGTATGTTTCTACACACGGATCAAAAACTTAAACCAGGTTATATCAACAGACAAAATAAACAAAGTCTATGAAATATTAAATTATGTGATTTTGTAATTTGACTAGTATATAGGAGTTTTGATATATCTTGCTTTATTCACTAAAAATTCTTACAGTGCTCTTTACATGTATAGTTGATATTTTATTACTATAGTATAATACAAAGGGACTAACAATCAGTAGGTCAGAACAAGTGGAATTCTTACAATCTGTATAACAAATGGCATAAGCAGAGTGTCTGGTACGATATGTTATACTATTACTTAATGATAGTGAAAATTTGGAGGAAATGCTTTCATAAGAAAGCAATGCACAGAGTGTGGATTTTACATTGGTTCATTTCTGTTCAAAGTAATGACAATTTATTTTCTAATAAATTTTTTCACTGTCATTGTGAAACATGGAAACAAAAGAGATGAATAGAATAGGGGGAAAATCTCTCTCCCTGACTTACACCTCTGACAGTGAATATCAGACATCAACAGAACTCTACATACACTACTACTTAAATATCACATGTGAATGAAGTATCGTATGTAATCATCTTGGCTGGCGGAAATGATGCATCTATGACGACGAGACCCAGAGGCAATAGAAAATGATTTCGCAGAAGTAATCACAGATCTCAGAAATCGGAATTCTAGTATCAGTGTATTTATCTCGGAAGTATTACCAAGGCGTGATACAGACACAGTGAAGTTAATGGAATTATTAAAAGTGTATGTGAAATGTATGGTGGTTCAGTGATTCCAACTTCTCTCTCTCTCTCTCTTGGAAATCCTCTCTCAAGAGTATTATTGGAAAGACAACATTCATCTGTCAGACAGAGGTACCGCCGAACTGCTAAAAATTTTCCATCAATACGTGAGTATCCTCAAAGTCGGAAACGTACATACGAATGGTGAAGAATCGGAAATACTTGGCAGTACTTCCTTCCGCCGTCCAGCCTTCTGTTATTTCTGTGGGGAAAGTGGACACATATCACGACACTGCAGACATGGAAGAAAGTTGGACTGCTGGAATTGTGGGGAACTGGGTCATAAAACCAAGCTTTGTCCGAATGGACACTAGGAAACTGGCAACGAATGTGTAGCCGACCATAGTTCCCAATCGATTTCTCTTGACAACAATGTTTATTCGACTCTTAGTAGATTATGTTCAGAATGTAATAAGATCCACTGTTCATGCAAACAATGTGAATATTTTTCTCTAGATTTTGTAACAAATTCAAAAAATTTAATTACTTCACCAAATACTTCTAAATTCTCAAAACCAGACAAGAATACTCATAGATTTCATACCAAGAAGGTTTCACAATCTGCTAATCATACGATATCTAAAAATGAGAATATACATGTACCACATGTACTGAGCAATAATGGATTTGGTTTGGTGAAAAAAGGTCTAAGATTTGGAAATCTAAACATATGCCACTTATTGCCTATAATTGAAGAAATTAAACTATTACTTCATGATAAACAAACTGTAAATATTTTAGGACTTTGTGAAACCTTCTTGAATGATCAAGTCAGTGATTCTGAATTGTATATTGAGGGTTTTGATATGGAAAGAAAAGATCGCATTCTGAGAGCAGGCGGTGGAATTATTGTCTACATTTCTAATAATATAAGATATAAACGTAGGCCTGATTTTGAAATCAGTAATATTGAAACAATTTGGCTGGAATTAAAGATTA